TTTTGAGGTGGGTGGTTGGGAATCAAGAGATCATATATGGTAACCTGATGAGTGCATGCAAAATAATGCAATGATCTTTGTTCCAAAGGCCAAAATTAATCTGCCCTTTTCCACCACAATAATCATCTTCTTGGAGTGCGACGCATATAGGGAGTATTGTTGCATATGATTTTCTCACTAGATTAATTAACCAACCAGAGAGGCAAAAGTTTCCATGAAAAAATCAATCAAACCAACGCAACGACAATGCAAAATAATATAATTTTGGGTTATTGATCATTTTTTAAGAAACAAAATTAAACGGTTCAGACTAGTTTTTCATCGGTTTTCCCCGGTTTTAATTTTGAACTGGTCAGTCAGTTTAGGATGACACTGGTTTATTTTCTAACTGAAGAAAAAGTAGACACATTGGAGAGCTGGTATAGCCTGTACTCTGGAAATTAATTACTCCCTCCGTTTCTTTTTATAAGATACAATTAACTAAATCACATTATTCAAAAAATTAGTTAAAATTAGTTAGGTGCAATAGATATGTAAAGAGTGTAACATTTTTGCCAACAATACCCTCATTTATGTGAAAGAGAGATAATGGGTGGGAGAGAACGAATGGGAATTAAATACAATTATATGAGTAATATGAGTAATTAAATAGGGATAAAATAGGAAATCAACACACAAAATTTGAGACAACCTATAAATGTCTCTTATAATAAGAACATGATATACTTTGCAATTGTCTCTTATAATAAGGAATAGAGGGAGTAATTAATAAGGTGATATAAATATAGTTCGGTTCCTTATATCTAACTTAGACCTTATTTTATCATACTATCCAGTCACCATAATCCAGTGGCATGAACAATCCTTTTATAAGTGAGAGATTGCAGGTTAATTTGTAACATCAAGAAGTTAGTATCTGTCTGCTTTTTAAATAAAAATAATATTGTTTTAGTATCATCAATATAGTCCTTGATATCTCAATAAGGCTTTTATTGAGAGCAGGGGATGCATGTATCTGAAATTTTGAATTCTTAAAGACAAAGTGCATTATGGAGGCATTGGACTATTTGACATGACATGTTCCTTTTTTTTTCTACTGGTCTTAAACATAAGGCGACACATTAGTAGGCCACAGTACCCTGTGAAGGATTCTGTGGATAGCCCGCTACCTAACTGACGTCAAAATACGCTGGACAGCACTCTTTGGAGGAATTAGGGCGAAGGACTTAAATAAAATAATATTTACCAGACATGAACTAAATACCAAAGTTTAAATGTCAAAACACTAATGATTTGGTCTTGGGGGGTTTTTTTCTTCTTCTCATCCCGATTGTCAAAACGGTAATAGGAGATAATTGTCCTAATCTTTTCCCATTCCCTAAACATCTCTAATTTCAAGAGAATTTTGTAGTTTGACTTCTTGTGAGGGCGCGAGGCCGCGAGGGTGATTTTCTTTCATTTTTTTTGTTTGGGAAACTGTCTTCGCATACGAGAACCCAACACAATGTTATACATGGAAATGGCCAGTGTGCTTTTGATCCCAAAAAAAAAAACCCAGCATACATATAGCCATTGGGTTATGACTTTACGCTGTTTTTATTGCGCAGTGAGTGTTAAGCTGTAATACAGATTATACACCTTTCAACTTATAAACAATATTTACACTGTTCTCTCCACCTTCAAGATGTAATAGGGGTCTGAGAATTTTGCTTTGATATTTTGTTCTACTGTTTCAAAGATTTGAAGTTTATGAGCGTAAAAAGGCATGCTAGAAGAAATGTCTAGATGTTCAAACATATTAGGAGATTCAGATTCAAACATTATTTTCTCATGCAATGAGCATCATCTGTTGAATCCTCAATTAAGTTGGGTTAGAAAGGAATAATCAAATTGGGCCTAACATGGCCGGAAAACTGGGGAGTGGGGACGTCTCAGCTTCCTCCGCACGTGGGTTAGTGCTTGCCGTATCTCAACAGTAAATAATATTACGCGGCGCAGCACGTGCATGACTCGCATTGCACGTGACTCTCTGTCAGCTTTCTCCTCCAAAGGTAACTATTGGAAGCAATCCTATTCGAGACACTATCAGGTACTAAATGTAGGTACCTCTCTCAACAGGGATTTGAACTTTGGTTCATCACATTATGAGGGACTAGTCCTTTCTATTAGACCCAACCCCCGTTGGTACCTTTGATTTATTTTTATTAGGTTTGAGCAGCTCTGAAGACCTAAATGGGCCTCGAGTTTAAGGGAGTCCACATGAACAACCCCAATAAGGAATGGTCTGCCTTTGGGCTTACCTTTTGTTTGTCAAGAGAATGGTCCGTCAAGTGACCCAATAACGTGGATAGAAGAATTGGTGCTGCCGGATAGCCTTAGGAATAGCATGAGTTTAAGAAAATTCTAAAGTGTCAAACTAAGGAGAACTAATAAAATAAGATTGTCTCCAATTAAAAAAATATCATGCTTGGGGGGGGGGGGGAACACCTGAACATTTAAATGATACTCCATTGACATGAGTTTAAAAGCTCCTCATTAGATGGGTTGGACTGCCGAATGAGATCCTTGCTGGATGAGAATGCCGCGTTGGAGAAGATTAAGGATCCCGGTCTGCGGCAGAAAGGACTTGCCTTGGTGCATTACAAGATCTCGCTTGAACCAAATTGTAATAAGAGGAATGATAATTCCTTTTTTCAACCAAAAAAAACAAAAGAATGATAATTCCTTTCAAAATGTCAGCATGATTTCCTTGATATAAACGCAGCAGAACCGTTTTGAGCAAGCGAATGGAATGGTCTTCATTAATATGAGGTGATCGAAGATCAAAACAACCAAACCAGAGTGCTGGTGCAAAAGGACATCTGAAGAAAGTGTGAAACTGGGTTTCATCAGTGTCACAGCCAAAGAGACATTATCAGGAAGATTTCTGCTAACTCCTCTTTATTTTGTCATGCACACACACACATGTCTCCATGGTCTTCCTCTGCAGGCTCTTTCATGCCAAAGAAATCGAGTGCAGAAATCTGATTTCTTCTCGAGCTGTTTACGAACAACCTCGTTTTGGATATGCAACTCTGGCTTAGCTTCTAGTGAGCTCAGATCATGAAATATCTCAGTTGTAGGGCGGAAGGTGTTGAATCCAGTCACACTAATAACAAGCTCAACCAACACTATCTTGCATGATATTAGTGTTTTTTAATCTTTCTTTAATTCTGTCTGTTCTTCTAACACTGGTTATAGTTCTTTTGCTTGTTTAGGCTCTGGTACACACATTTGTGAATGAATTCTTTATCCTTGTATGTTATTGTACTCTGAACTGATGATTTTGGGAGCCGTAATGCGGACAATCAGGGGGCTCAAGGAGCAAGGCCGTCTTGGACGGTCTTTTGGTAAAGTCACAATACGTGATCAGCCTCCATCGAATACCATACGAAAGATTATTGCTGTAAAAGATGCCATGCGTGATGTTGGAGTTACATGCAGCAAGTGAATGGTGCACTTCTCAAAATGCGTGCTATTTTACTTTCAGGTCATCCACAGGTACCATAACAGGGATAATGGAAAACTATTTATATCAAACAATATCTTGGCGTCATGATATTGTTCGTTTTGGTGGCTTTTAAAATCCCATCGCCGATGCACATTAATTTTGACCCTTTTCAGGTGACTACGGAGGTAGCATTGCTATTGTTATCTTCCGCGACTTTTCTTCTCATTGTCCCATTCAAGTACATTCTTTCCTTTCTTATCTTGGGCATCTTTACACGAGAGCTTGAGTTCAGGAGAGAAATACTAAAGAGGTTCATTAGTATGGTGAGGGAGCGTTGGCATGCCGTCCCTGCTGCCCCTGTAGTAGTTTTACCGTATGAAAATGATGAGTCCAGATCAGTAAGTCCGCTAAAGGAAACTGAGGACCAAGAAAATCCACAAGGAAATCAGAAAGTTGTTTAAGTCCAGATAGATAGCTGCACCATGATCATGGTTGTTTATAGAATATATGGATGTAATTTTCTGTCAATTCTTTTGTAAAGAAGAGGACGTTTGTGTACTAGTTTGACTCTCTTTGATGAAATGCTTGATCTGATCAGTTTTAGCAAGAAGTTAGGTATAATTTGAAGTTTTACTATCAAAAAGTCCAACAAAGCAAGGCATGATACGTCCCAGTAGCATACAGCTCTGTATATTATGTTTTTATTGGAGAAGTTTATGGCGCACATATAAAAAATTTTACAGTTTTGTCTGCCTGTGGTAAGAAAGCAATTTTGTAGGGGCAACATGAGCCTTGTTGGATTTTCTTCTCTATATGATATGTTATGTTAATTCATCCAAGGGGAATCAAAATTCTTTGAAGATGAATTATGCTGAGAGAGGAAATTGTTTTCCCAGGAGATAAAGGATTTCCGGAGCTAACAGATGAGGTATTTCTCTACTCGCTTTATTGCTCCACCCCATTTCTTTTCCCAGCACAATCTCATGGATGAAAGTCTCAGCCTGCAGAAATTGTTCCATTTGATTCAGTATGTTGCATTTTCTTTTAATGTTGCTTTTAGGGTACACGTATTCTTCTATATGTTCAACTGACTGATAATTGTTTATGCAAATAGCTTGCCATATGAGGTGTGTAGAATGTTGGGACCGAGTCTCCATCTGGCAAGTTATTATGGTTACCAATTGTTAGATTGCTTCTTTTTCAAATATGTCCACCATCTTTTCCACAGCTTGAAATAATCTTAGACTTCCAGTGGCCTAGTGCCACAATGGCATCGTTCACCTACTTGAAAAGGGGAGGTTACTGATTCAACTCATAGGTGGGTTTGTGGGTGTGTGTGAGTCCCCACCCCCCCCCCCAAAAAAAAAAAAAAAAGGAGAGGGTTGTAATGGGCGGGTCGGTGTAATTGTACCTTTCAAAAAAGGGTAAAAGGAAAAAAGGAAAAAACAAAGAAAGAAATAATCTTAATATATTTCTCGTTTCCATTCAATGCCTTATCGGAGCCCGCACAAGGAGAGAAAGAAAAGAAGTGATTATAACTTAGGAAAATGTATGTACATGACATGTGAAAAGGCTGGAGGACATCTTCAATTTAGTTTGTGGGAAAATCAAGGGAGGCAACAAGGAAATTCCAAGTGAAATGAACTAGTGAAGGTGTTCATTGAAAAGGTCTTCAACATGCGTGATTTGCTAAGATGCGATCCATGAATTGAACATGAAAGCCAATGGCAGCATCAGGACCCACAAACTCTGAGGTATGGCTTTATGAGCATTTGATGCATTACATGGATGCTGATTGTCATGGGAAGTTGGCAACGTTTGATTCCTGCATTTAACGAGAACGTCAGGAATTATGATAGATGTGCCAGTAAATAATAAGAATTTGTTTGTACAAATCTATATTGAACTCCATCATCAATGTGTTCCTAGTGCTTGGAACATGTTATTTCATGAAAACTATTAGAGATATTAATAATGAAAACTTTTTTGAAACATTGATATGGTATTATTGTCTCGGTGATGGAGGGGTTAGAGTATGATATTCACCTGGATCCACAGAATGTCACGACAAAATCTGCTCCAGAACATGTTAAAACACTTGTTGGATCGTCATATGCATAACTATATGCTACAGGACACACGGATTTGAAACTCTTCGAGTAGTTGGAAGGCAGGCATGTTCCTGGATTTCCATGCTGCCCTCTGCAACAATACTCATCAGTTTTGAAGACATCACAGGCGCTCCGGCAAGCAATAACTTTGCCATCTTCCTTCATGGCTAGCTGTGACGGGCAGTTCTGCCTCAGATCTCCATCACATCCTGCACTGCTGCAGTTCCCTGTGCCATTAACAGTCTGCACGGCTATGGGCAAGTTGAACCCATCCACAAGACTAACATCATAGTAATCAAGTTCACCAAGAGCAAATTCAGCTAGTGTTGATGGTGGGCTTCCGGGGGCGCTACAATTCATCTCAGTTCCACAACCTCCTGTTCGGCACTTGCCAGCGCCATTTTTGTCGAAGTTGCAGCCTGTTCTGGCCCATATCCGGCCATTCCATCCAGCAGGAGCAGTGAATGCTTGGGATTGGCATGGTTTCAATGTGAAGCTGCCACTAGTGAAGTTGTCATTGTGAGTTATCCCAGGCCATATTGTTTCCTTGCAGTAATTTACAAAAGTGAAAGTTTGCTTGCTTCCACAGAGTTCTGGACCTGCCATCCAATAACTAAATTCATCAAGCAATAAACAAAATGCCAACTAAACAAGTTCCAAGGCTTTTGGTCCCTTGGCATGTCAATCCCGAGCTGTGTGTTATTATGACTTAAGATGTTATGTTACCCTGTCATAGTGTGAAATAGTGGCGATGCCAATGTCAATTTTTAAGAATTTGATGTCAAGGTTCCGTTTTTACCTCTACCAGTTATCTCCTACCAATAGCTCTGGGAAAATGTATGCATACGACCCCAGACTTTAAAAATTTTACCTTTAAGGCTATGACAGTAATTTTTCTCAAGATTTAATATAAAATTTCCAAAACTGATAATATTACAGTCAAAACTGATTATATCTTCAAGATATTTTAGCTTAAAATAACTACCTCAGGTAATATTTCCACTGTCTTTTATGGGATATATTCCCGGATAGAATCTCATATACAACTTTGTATATGCAGAACAAGTACTAGAACATGTCATTAGTCAGATGTTAAGTAGGAACAGTTCAAGATTTTTTGAGGCTACGTACATGAATTTTGAGAACCAAAACGAAAGCAACTGAATTTGGTTCAGATCTCTCAAGAACAATACCTTAATCCAATTTAATGACCAATGATCCCCAAATGGTATATGGATATTTAAAGTATGAGATATGTCACATCCGACTAAACGAAATCAGCATGACACTATCAGACTTCTATCAACAAAGCAAGACGTAAGAGAAAAAGATGTTGTGGAATGAGAAAGGTACCTGAGACAGTGACAATGAAGATGAAAGTGAGTTTAAGAAATGCAGAGTAAGGATGAGCCATAATAGTCTACTCAGCTTCTAATTATGGGACAAGTCGAATGTTAATGGTGAAGTTATTTATGGCATTGGCTGAGACAGAAAGTATTGAAGAATGCGTGAAGAAGAGAGTGAATCTTTATGGATTCCAGATTCCACAGACAACCCCAAAAAGGCTTCCTTGCTTTGCCTAACATCAAAGATGATACCTTACCCTCCAATCCCATTCTCATTTCTTTATTGTGTCCCCTGTATGCTTTGCACTGATGCTTCATTCTTGTTAAATTTGCAGCAAATGTACCTTAACAAATTAGGCAGACTAATCAATTTTTGACGGCACTAGTAAAGTGAGGTGAAACAATATATAGTTCTGATTGGCTAGGGGGACTAAGTGTGTTGGTCTGTTTATTTCTATAAAACATTAATTGAAAAATAAAAATAAGAAGTAAAACCACATCATCAGTCAATAGTCAATATTTCAACATTTGATATTTCAATATCTTGAATAATTCAATGTTTTTTCACAGGCTTAATATCAAACAAAAATAGAGGTAGGCAAAATTAAGACATAACTATTTACCTTTGGGGAGAATGATAGTTGGATCCTGAAAAATGGATATAATGATAGCTAAGTCTCCAGCAATTTTTCTGAAAAATAAATTACAAATATCGATTCAGACAATTACAATTTTTTTGGTTTTAATTGTAAACAAGACATCTATATTTTAAATGTAGCTTTTCATTTGCAACTGAAATTTCCCGTCGCAATTGTCTGAATTAATATCCGTAATTCATTTTTCAATAACTGGGGATCTGAATTGGCTTCTCTTGGGACTTAAATGGCTTTCTCCCCGAGTGCTATTTTAATAATACATAATTATTTAATTAATTTGGACATATGAAGAAAACTAAATAAATCATTTAATTCTAAAAAATATGACATGATTTTCTTAAAATATCTATATATAACGTTAGATTATATACTCCATCAACTATAATTAAGTAGTAGAAGGAGGGAGGCTAGGAGGATATTAAATACTCTTCTGGTCCTTAACATAAGACCTATTTAACTAATTTGATTAGATTAAGAAAGTTAGGTAAGTTAGTTAATTATAAAAAATGTGAAACGCTTTTTCTAAAACACCATAATCATCTTTCTTAATACTCCATCTTCCTCTTCTACTTCTGGTAAAAAAAAAAAAAATCTTCCTCTTCTACTTGATTATGGTTGAGGGAATATCCATGGGAGTAATTTAGAGAAAATTGATAAATATGAGAAATAGGTCTTATATTTAGGACCAAAACCAACTCAACAATTGGGTCTTATATTAAGGACCAGAGGAGTAACATGAATGTGGTGTTTTAGAAAAAAACATATCATATTTCTTATAATTAACTATTAACTAATTTATTTAATTTTCTTAATATAATCAAATTAGTTAAATAGATTTTATATTAAGGACCAAAGGTCAATTTATAAGTTAGATAAATTAATTTGAAAAAAAATGATAACCATGAAAGATAACATGAGTTTAGGTCTTATATTTAGGATCAAAATTAACTCTAGCTCTTGTATTTAGATTTGGAGGAATATTATTTTTTATCATGTCATTATGAACGAGTATGATACACACATGCGATAATTGAAAATGAATTATGATTGAGCGAAATGAAAATTTTTTTTTATGAAAATTTTTCTTTAATAGAAGTTTTTTTTTTGTCCATAGATGAAATTGATTTGTTTTATTTTAAAATTTTTTTTGTTGAATTTCTTTTTCTGCTACTCGAGCACGAGCTCCAAAATGTATGGCAAGATGTTTATTGGGTTGAGGTCCAACCCAACCCATGAAGGCATGAACAACTCTTCCGAGTAGAGAAAACCGATGGTTTTTAAACAGTTAGAGTGGTTGGGGCGATAATGCTCTTTTTTTTTTCCAAAAAAAAAGGCTAAAAATATACTTTTATTTTTAAATACTCTTTTCCGTCTTTGATATAAGATCTTATTTGATTTTTATTTTGATTCTAAATATAAAACCTCAATATATTTTGTCTATCATATTTATCTATTTTTTTCTCAAAATAGTCCTTCTAATAACAATAGTCATAACTAATAAATTTGATTAGCAAAGATATTTTAGGAGAAACAACATCTATTTATTATAACTAACTAAATTTATTTTCTTAATCTACTCAAATTAATCAACTAACTTTTATATTTAGAATCAGAAGTAGTATGTCTTTAGAGAAAAAAAATATAAACAAGTGCATGAGGAAACATAATAAGAGAAAGATAATTAAGAGTAATATAAAAAAATGTATTCATATTTAGACAAATTCAAATCGAAGTTTATAAAATGGACCACACCACTTCTTAAATTTGAAGTTTATAAATACGATGAGAAGAGTATTTGACGACAAAATTGAAACAATAAGAAAACCTTCAAATACAATAGCTCTTTTGTGAATAATTAAAAAATTTAAAATTCTAACAAATCGCTTTCTTACATTATAATTAAGTCATCATTATTCAAACCTAGTGCAATACAAATGATCCCCATATTAACTGTGGATAAGGTTGTGACTTCATATACTCCTCCGGTCCTTAATATAGGACCCAATTCTTGAATTGGTTTTGGTCCTAAATATAAGACCCATTTCTTATATTTATCAATTTTCTCTAAATTACCCCTATAGATACTCTCTCAACTATAATTAAGTAGAAGTATTAAGAAAGATGATTATGGTGTTTTAGGAAAAATGTCACTTTTGTTATAATTAACCAACTTACCTAACTTCCTTAATCTAATCAAATTTGTTAAATGGGTCTATATTAAGGAGTATATATTAATCAACGAAGGAAACATCTTCGTCAAGAGCTTTTAATGAGCTACACCTATAATTTTCCTAAGCAATGGATATTATTAAAGAGTCGTTCACCTAAAAAGAATATACAGGTATTCATGTTAGGACTATTCTTGGCCTAAAAAAGTATTTAGAATATTCATGAGTCAGGCGTAATTAATCCTATGGCCCAACCTTAAAGTCAGCCAATGCTTTTTATGTGGCCAGGTTGGATAAGTACCAAGCTAGTTTGTTTGGCTTGTAATTAAAAAAAAAAAACTATTTCGTAGTTAACGATAATAATAAAAAATAATTTCATCTATGAATAAAAGAATTAGTTATTCTCATGTAAAATATATTTCCTTGAAAAAATAATGTTAGAATAAAAACTAGCTTCATTTAGATATAATATTTATACATAATATATTAAGTGAAGAGATTTATTTAAAACTTCAAATAAAATTAAAATATTGGAATAAAAAGTTTTCAAAATAAGCATAAAAAAGGATTTTCTAAATTTTTTAACATGTTGACTCATCTACTAAAATCATCCAATGCTATTGTACTCTATTAATAATTAAATTTTTAAATAGATTGTTAATCAAAAGGTTTTAGTCAATAATTTTATTGAGTATTTTTCTCAATTTTCTTTTTTTTCCTCCGGAGAACTCCATACTAATTGACTTATACTTCACGTCGGTGCATTCAATGGTTTTCTTCGACTGTGTCAGAATCACCTCAAACAATTTTTTATCAATTTTTATTTAATAGATGCCACGTCAATTTTGTCATAAATATGTTCATTGTGAATCTTATATTTTTTTTTGGATAACTAATTTTCTGAATTCTATCCATTTACTAAAAAATAAAAGACACACACATATATATCGATATATCTTAACCTAATTACTCCTCCGGTCCTTAATATAGGACACAATTGTTGAGTTGGTTTTGGTCTTAAATATAAGACCCATTTTTTATATTTATCAGTTTTTTCTAAATTACCCCTATGGATACTCCCTCAATTATAATCAAGTAGAAGAGAGAGATGAGGTATTAAGAAAAATGATTATCTTGTTTTAGGAAAAATGTGTCACATTTTTTATAATTAACTAACTTACCTAACTTTCTTAATTTAATCAAATTAGTTAGATGGGTCTTATCTTAAGTACCAGAGGAGTATTTATTATCTTGATCTAACTCAAACCATCCGAACATGATCAAGTTTATAAAGCTAGCCAACCTAGCACATATACATTTAAATAAGGTGACTCCTAATTATTTTTGAAACTCCATACAAAACACGACATCTTTACACATTGCATGTTATTTGTCTCTATCTTTAATTAATTTGCCATCTCACAAAACATATGAAATAAAGACTAAGACAAATAGACAACGCCCAAATGGGACATACTGAGGCAATGTTTGGTGAATGATATAAATTTCATAGCATACAAATGGATCAATCATGTTAAGTCTCAATCAAAGTAAAACTATATGACATACATATATATAACTACTATTTTAACTGAATAAAATTTGCCGACAGTGTTTTTATTAGCTTATAATATTATATGCACAAGTTATTTATTATATGATCTGCAAATTTAATTTATTCTGCAATGTTACAATCCTTTGTACTCTGAGTTTCTAATTTCTATTATGTTCCAACGATCGAATTACAATCTAGTAATAGATTGTCAATTAATTGTCGGAAGACAGAAAATTATAGATAAGGCTCCATATAATCACAAACAAATTCCCAAAATAATTTCTGTAGTTTCATATGGGGTTAAAAAATAATATCAGTCCAACCGCATTTATTTATAATAACAATGATAATAAGTTTTATCCCATTAGATGGGAAAAACTCTATCAACAATCAAATCTTTATAAATTATTATCCAAACAGTCTCGATCAACAATTTCATTGAGCATTCTCCATCATGTTCCTATACTTGTTTTTCCACAGTACTCCATACTACTTGATCTTTCCTTCTTACCAATAATGCATTCAATGACTTTCTTTGAACGCATATGAATCATTTCAAACGACTTTCTATCATTTTTTCTTCCGCACGAAGATGTTATGCAAACTCTTCTAGGAATATATATGTTTATTAGGAATTCTTTTTTTTATATGACCAGACATCTATCTCAACATTATCATCTCGATTATTCCTACTTTATGCTCATATTATTCCTTTAAAACCCAATATTCTATCATAAAAAATTTTCTGTCTTATGGCAATGCATTAAAATTTTTCTTTTATTTTATTAGATATTTTTTTAATCACAAATAACTCTGTTAATTTTTTTCTATTTAAATGACCCACCTCGAATTTTATGATTGACTTCTTCATTAACATTACCATTTGTGGTATAATTGATCCCAAATATATGAACTATTTAAGAAAAAACTATTTTAGTGGTATCTATACTTTTTTTTAATTTTTAATTTTGGTACCTATGTGTTTTTTTCTCTTTATTGAATCTTTAATTTTGCTCTATTAATATTGTTAACCTTTATATAAAGACTACCAATGTTAATAGAACAAAGTCACAAGAGTTAATATTGCTAAAATAGTAAAATTAAATAATTTAATTAAGAGAAAAAATATACAAGTATCAAGTTAAAAAAAAAAAAGTATAGGTACATCTAATATGGTTTTCTCACCATTTAACTTGGCCTATATTTTATGGCTAGTCCCAAATCCAGATGAAAGAGAAGAGTTATGTTAGGCCCAACTATATAAATCTTAATGACATTTATCTTTAATCGCGGGAACTTAATTAATATTAATTTTTTTAGACTTATTTGTCATTTTTTATAGCCTTACATGAAACTTTACTTTCTGGCAGTAACTTTGCAGCCGTCAAATTGACGATATTTTAATAAAAGAATAATATCGCATCACCATTAACTCTTTGAGTAATAAATGCATCATTTAACCTTCCCGCAAAAAAAAAAAAAAGCATCATTTGACCACAGTAATTGATGCTAGCAGAGAAAATTATGTGCAGCGTATGAAAAAGAAAAAGTCTAATTAATTTTTTTACATTTTTTTTGCCATTCATTAATTTTTTTTACCACCAACATCTAATTAATGAAAAACGATAAAAATTCAAATGAGGGGAAAAAATCGGAAGAGAATAAACCTTAAAAAAATCTAATATAATCTTTGTTTGTTAATTTTTGTTAATAAATGTTAAAGGAAGCAAAGGCTGTGGGCTGTCTATAATTACAAAGAGATACATTTCAATTATAACCAAAGAGGACGATCATCAAATAAGCCGTACTTCCGAGGAAGAACCTCCCGGAATCTTTCTGCATAGTTGCAGCTCCTTTTGCTGTTTTCTTTGCCCATTCACTGCAAAATCAGTCAAATAGGAACATAGTGGAAGTGAAAATGGAATCATTCAAAAGAAAAGTGCATCTTTCTAAAATATTATATTTCATTTTTTTTTGGGGCCAAAGTATAATATTATATTCCAAGGTTACTTTTTTTTTAACAATAAAAGTTCTTTTGAAGCGTAATTATCAGTAATTAAGTAAGCAGTACCATTTTGGTTTTTAATATAAGTGACATCTAACACATTCTCGCATGCAATAATTTTACTCTATTTAAATTCTTCTTTCTCTACATTCTATAAATCAGTATCATCTCCTTTCTTTTTCTCTCTTTTCAATAAAAATTAAATATAGGTAAAATTAAAAAAAAGCATTAAACATAGGGTTAAATTGTAAATTTATCTTAAAAGTTTTCAATCAAGAATACTTGCAAGCTTGTTTGGGTGGAAATTTGCCTTGAAAATTTAAAATTATAACAATATCACTCCTTACCATTAAAAACTATGGTTGATTGTTAAAATATAATGATGTTAATAATAAACATTTTTCACGGTGGGACAATAAAGCAATTATTGTTATGATTTTAAACTTTCAGAAAAAATTTACAACAAAAAAAAGCTTCAGAGTGTTCAGTGTTTGTGTATGAAAACTTTTTAGATAAATTTATTCTTTAACTCTTAAATATACTGCAAATTTACATTTAAGACTAAATTTTTCTTGACGAGTGATTTACATTCAGGATGGAATGGGAGTGGTATTATTCTACAACGTAGTTGTCATTGGTAGCCAATAATGCAAAAGTGAATGGTGCATTAATGAAGTGAACGGTGGGTAGTTATGAGTCTGATGAAGCTATTAATGAAAATTCAAGAGCAACCCGTCTTTGCCACTCTCTTTATTACACTTCCTATGGGGACACTACGCAGGGACGCAAATTCTCCAGATTTTTGTTTTGATATTTCAATGCCCATGCATGAACATAGTTCTTTTTTGGAGCTTTTTTCAAATTACATATTTATACTCCCTGTAGTCCTTATTTCTGAAAGAATGGTTTGATTCGAAATATAAGTCACATGAAGATTTAATGTGCTAACTATCATTTTCTATCCCGATGAATTAATTAAAATCACATATGTGGATTAGGGTATATTATTCATATGAGATATTAATTAAATTAATTTTATATATACACATGCTTTTTTTTAATATTACCGTTCGATATCCGACATTTTAACTCAAACTTGAGATTAAAAAAGATTAGTAGGACTTTATTCTGTTAGACCAACTCTATATTGGTGTGTATATATACACTCAACATATATGTGTGTGTGTGTGTGTAACGTTTATTACACGATTTAGAAATAAAAACGCAACGTACTGTTCATATCAAAGTGTCTCTCTAAAGTCTAAACGAAATATAAAATAAAATACCTCAACAACTTCAAAGAATATTATGCCCTACATAATTAATAGCCGTACCTTGAACCTAAGCTTACGGCTGGTTTCATATTTGTAACTACATGTCTTTTTGCATTGCTTTGACTCCTTCCCATTTGCTCCTTCCAATTGAATGCATAAGCTTGATTTTTAGAGACAGTCTGATTCAAAATATAAACTTTATTTTTAAGTTCATTTGAGTATTTATTACTTTTTTTTATTTTACTTTTAGTTGATTGTATTTAGTACTCTCTCTCATATTAATATTATTCTCATATATTTTCTTTTATCATTTTTTTCATTTATTGCCTCTCATTTTCTCTCTTAACAAATAAAGAAAATTTTTTAAAAAAATATTTTTGGCCTATTTATTATTTTTAACAATTTTTAACTACTAGTTCATTAAACATAATTCGATTATTTAAAACTTATATATGGGACTAGAGGGCCTAGTACTCATCTCATTTGATTCATGAGGACCTTGAAGATATGAAAAATCTTAAACCTTGTTAATTTCATATCAAAAAGTAATGACTCTTAAAATTTATTTATGTTTAATATATTATTTTCTGAGAAAATAATAGTTTATAAAATAATAAATTAGGAGTAAAATTGTATATTCATATAATAAATTTAATATGATATTATGACATATTAATGACAAAAAAAATCTCTCTACTTTTCAAATAGGACTAGCGAAGAAATACTCCTATGATCTTATTGATAAGACAGAGAAAAATGTTTCATTCGTCCTATTTATAAGTTATATTATTAAATTTTTTTCATATAAATGTGTAATTTTACCATTTATTTATTATGGTATAAACTTTGTTTCATGAGGTAAAGTGTGTATTAATAGAGGTGAAATGACAAAGTTATTAAATTTTACTCCCTGTTCCTTATTATAAGAGACAAATAACCGATTTACGTTGATAAAAAAACAGTTAAAATTAGTTAAGAACAATCAATGTGTAAAAAATATAATTTTTTTTCCAAAACTGCCCTCATTAATAAGGAGAGAGAGCATGAGAGAGAACAATTAAATTATTAAAAGAAAGAGAAGTGGGAGGAAGAGAGAGTGTGAATTGGAGACAATAAATATGGGTAAAATAGGAAATCAACACAAAAAATTAGAGACAATTTTTAAGTGTCTCTTATATATAGGAACATGACATAAGCATCAAATGTCTCTTATAATAAGGAACGGAGGGAGTAAGATATAGCTAATAACTTTTTAAATTTCAATAAAACATGCTGAAAGCGATTTATAATAGAGAATAAACTCATAGCTTTGGTAAAAGGTTAACATTTACACGGACTCTGTGTGAAGGTTGTTTATGACATCACGAAACTATGACACAAGCCACCTTGTTTTTAATACTGTGTTTGAAGTATGATGCGAGATTGGGAAATTTTTGTCAAATTTGCTCACAATATATAGCATCGAAACAATATAGTCTAAAGCGTTTTTCCCAAAATTATTGTACAAGCTTAATTACTTGTGTTGGTCTTTCTCACAGCTAACGCCTTTCCCTCCACAAAGAAATGGGGTACACATTTTAGTTATTAATTAAGTATACTATATATCAAATTTTAATTAATAGCACTTTAGTATTAAAAATGCATTAATTAAAGCAGATGTTAGCTGAGGTGGTACTAAAACGTCTCTTCTAGTAAACTCTTGTTCAACTATTTAAAATTTTTAATTACCAATGTATATAATAATATTCCTAATCTGGTCAAAAAATAATAATAATATTCCTAAGATCTATTTCTTGGATGGTATAGGATCAATATAAAACAATCATCTTTATTAATTAATATTAATAACCATGTAAATCCCATCAATTATTGCCGTTAATCTACAGTTTTCTCTGAACAATATTTTAGTTTTTCATTTTTGGTTGATATGAAGATTGGGTTCAGTTTTCCATTGGGACCCATCTCTTCATTTTTAGTTTTCATTTTTTCTTTCCTCTGGTTGGGGGGGGGGGGAAAAAAAGAAAAGCATATATTCTTTCCTGGTACTGGAAAGTTGTACATGTTCTTCTTTCTTGTTCAAAATTAATAGAAATCAATTACTACCGGGAAAAAAAAAAAAAGAAATCAACTAACCTGATTAGAACAATTAATAAAATATTACTCGTTGGATTAAGTTTTCCTACCATATCAAAACTAAAATATTAACTTTAAGCAATAATAATGCGCTCCCAATTCCTAAAAAAGATATAATTCAAATTCTAGAATCAAAATATATATATATATATATTGAGTTTGAGTCTGAAAAAAGACACTTTTGTAGAAAGCAGAAGCTATGGCCCCTAATCAGATTAACCGGATGATAATATATTAAAAAACACATATAAAATCCATAAAAATTCAAATTATAATTAATTAACAATTCAGCTTATCATAGATCATCCCATGCAAAACACACAAAAGAGCTACATTTAATTAATTAAAACAAAATTATATGGTTTCTTCAAACTACTCCTTTCACCATGTGAATGCATGCATGTAATATATAAGTTGAAATTGGCCAAATAACAATATTCCACAAAAGAGGAAATAAAAAAGAAAAAGGAAAAGGAAAGAAAAGACAGATCACAGACGAATTATAAGAAACAACATGAAACTTAACTTGACCCAATACCCATCATCACTGTCCCTTTCATACTTACCATCAAGAAATAAGAAAAACTGGTTTATCTCATAATATATTCTTTCTTTTTTTTCCTCCACAGATTGAGTCTTTTCTTTTTTAAAATTAATTTTGTGATGATGATTTCTACTTGGGAATACTATAAATCAAAGGCTTCCAAGTTTTAACGTTGTAATTGTCGTCATCCTCGTCACAGGCCATCATCATCTTCTTCGAGTTCGACCCGTAATTCTTCTTATGGAAGTCAACAAACAGAAACAAAAGCGAGGCATAGAAAACGACATTGAAGCTCCAGCCCCAAACTCCGGAGCAACCCGACCCGGAATAGTGGTAGAACAGCATAAGGCTCAAAACGACGAAGCTGGAGTAGAACTGAACGATCTGGCAATCTGTCACGAGCTTCTTCCACTTGGGACGAACCCCAAGTGCGCACGATAAGTAATAGGCGTACATTAGCACGTGCACGGAGGAGTTGGTCACGAGCACCAACGGGAACAGCGACTGAGACGTCTGGAGCCAAATGTAGCACATGACGACGACGGCGGAGTGGTGGTACACGTGGAGGAACGTGAGGCGTTGGATGGAGTTTGACAAGATGATCAGGAGAGTGTCGATGAATTCTAGAATCTTCGAGAGGTAGAAGACGTAGGCCCAGAAGAAAACGGGGCCGGAGGGAGGGGTGTTCGGCGGGAAGCAGATTATCCACTGGAAGTGAGGTGCATGGGATATGGTGGACAGGATGCAACCGAGGGCCATGACGAAGGAGAGGAGGAGAAGGACGGTGCTATGGATGGCGGTGATGGGTTTGAGGATGACCTGAGGAACAGGAGGGAGAGAGAGACGAGAGAGGAAGAAGGTGAAAGAGAGGTAACAGAAGACGGTGAAGACGAGAAATTGAGGAGATGAAGCTAGGGTTTTGTTGGGAATCCACGTGAAGTTCTCAATGGAAGGTTGCTTCACCAGGTAGTACTCAATGGCTGAGAAAATCTGACTCATTTTTTATGAAATAATAAGGCGGCACCACCACCGTCTGCGGCGGAGAGAGAGAAAGAAAAAGGGATTTTTTGAGAGATTAAAGCGGCACTTGTCTAGAGAGAAGGGAGCGGCATCTGGTAGAAAGCTAGTTAGGGGTTTCTCCAATAGTGGTGGGATTATATTAATAAGTAGGTCGAGAGAGTGTTATTATAGAGTGTGTGTTGTGAAGGTGTTGTGCATGCATCTCTTTCAAGAATGGTCCCATTACTATTCACATCTCACATCTTGCATCCAGACTGTTTTGATTGTACATGCATGGGAGGGAAATTAATTTCACAACCACATTTTTTTTACCCTTTTGAAAATTAAATTCTTCCGAATTACTTGGTTATCATAATTTGTTCTCATTTTAACTTTGATCCTTATATATAGTTTCAAATCATAGATTGTAATCCCCCAAGTTTATTTCTGTCTAAAACGTTACCCCCTATATTTTAATAAAAATATGAACCATTTTGTTTTTTGAGAAACCAAAACTTATGATTTCAAGTTATAAAAATCAAAATCAAAATGAAATAAAACTATAAGGACTAAATATTATACTGACCCATGTTTCTAGTTGTGCTAATATACCTTCTAGAACTCTCTAAAAAAAAAAGAAAAAAAAGATCTCCCCTTCTCTCCCTCGCAATATAATGATACTGAGAAAGCTGTGACATGAGTTGTGAAATTCAGTAGCACTTCATGAATGTGGCAGTATAAATATAGATTAATAAATTAACAGTTAATGTATAGTATCATAACAGTGTGGGACTGTTCTCTTTGTGGCATATCCTAGCTACTTTCTAGGCATTTATGTTAAATGTATTTTCACTTTAATATCTGATTTCCTTGCTGTTATTTTTCTTTCCTTTTATTTTTTGGTGTGATAGTTATATAATTAAAGATCCTCCACAATAACTAAGGATTAATTCCCTTTTGAACCTAAGAGATCATAAACAGGCTTTGTCTAGGATTGAACCCCTCATAATGTTCAAGAGATCAAGCCATCTTCTAGCTATATGCCGTACCTTATTGGTTAACTAATTTGTTTCCTCATCTTCAAAATTAAAATATATTTGTTGCGACATTCAAATGATAAATTAAAAGGAAACAAGTTAAAAAAAAAAATAGCATGCCTTTTAAGGACATTGTCATTTAAGTTTAATAAACTTGCATAGATGTACGCATGCTCCCTCTCCCAGCTCCGGTCATATTTATAATCCGACTTATATAATTGTTGGAAAATTTAACAGTATTACTGCTAGAAAATCTCTCTTCATGATAGTTAACTAATTTAAGTAGATTAAGTAAAAAGTTAAATAAATTATAATAAACATGATATTGTCCCCTAAAATATTCTTCTATAATATAATGTTAGGTTATATATATAAGTTTATTAGTTAGATAAATTAGTTCAGAAAAAAATGATAAATATATTTAAAAAAGCAAAGTAGTTTGATGAAAGCCCAATTAGCTTTTATGTTAGGAAGTGGAGAGAGTATCTCTCAAATCTCAATATTGTCTCTTACTTAAATTGATATATCTTTTTTTAATACTGCTAATAAGCTCCACAAGTTTGTCGGTTAACAGTTAAACATGGGATCATAAAACATGATAGCAAGATTATTCTTATGCCACATATGCAAAACAAACATTCAAATTTGCCAACTAACCTTTTTCACTTAATACGAATACGTTCATTCGGTCAATATATCTTTTCATCATTTGATCCTGATGTAACCATTTTGGTGTTAGTTATGTCTATGTTCAAAATAAATTAGTTTGTACGGTAAAATAGATATTTTTGGGGAGTGTGGAATTAAGATACAGAAATATCTAATGTTAATATCTATGGAAAAAGCAAGACAGATATGGGTCGTATTCATAAGGAGTCAATAGAAATTGATGAGCATATGATATATCCCATGGCCTCCCCCCACATATATGGGTGAGATATTAAAAACCACACTTATTAATGGGACAACACTTTAGCCTAACGTCTTTCTCTTCGGGACACTCTTAAAAAAATGTTGATGTCAATAGATATTTCCTTTCCTTTTGATACTAAATATAGGAGTTAGATAATTAATTTAAAGAGATTACGAAAATTAGTTATTTTAGTTATTTATAATAGATGTGTGTTGATTTATTTAATTAAAAGAACTATTTGATTTATTTAATTAAAAGTACTATTTGATCATTTACATTGGAAACTATACTCATTAATGAAAATTCTAGTACGTGCAATCAATATGATTGTTTGAGGAAAGAATGTACTTACTCTGATTCTTATACTCCTTTTGATCTTTAATATAAGAGCAAGGTGATTAATTTGAGTAGATTAAGAAAGTTTATTAAATTAGTTGTTTGTAATAATTAGGTGTTGTGTTTCCTAAAATATTCTTGCTAATTATGTATTAACTAAAACTATCATTTGATTGGACTTTTAACATATGTAACTACTACAAGAACTACTACTTTAGAAAAAATAAATAAATATGATAGACAAAGTGAATTGGGATCTTATATTTATAACCAAATTAAAAGTCAAATTAGCCCTTAATATAGGTAGTATATAGGAGTTAAATAACTAATTTATAGATATTATAAAGTTACTATTTTCAGTCCTAATTATAAGAGCTAGTTGACTAATTGAAGAGATTAAGGAAAGAAGTTAAGTTAGTTATTTGTAATAAATAGTTTTTTCTTTCTTAAAACATCTTTGCTTAAATATCCTCGCTAATCAAGTGCATTAGCTAGAACTACCATTGTTAAAAGGACTATCTTAAAAAAAATGCATAAATATTATATATAAAGTGGATTGGGGTCTTCTATTTAAGACCAAAATAAAAGTGAAACGATGTCTTATATTAAGAATGAGAGGTAGTAGTTAAATGAGTTATTTGTTAAAAAACAAAAAAGTGTATTGGTTTCCTTAAAATATCTTCTTTAATCATTTGTTTTTGAAACTACGACTTGATGAAATCAATCCCCTTAACACATGCCATTAATAGTATGGGTAGTTCGCAAAAAAAATTATAAACTTAGAAGAAAAAATAAATTAATGTCTTATGTTTAGATTCAAGATATAGTAAAATCTTGCAAATTGGAAATGCATGATTGAATTGGGTTTATCTATATCTATATCTATATATATATATATATATATATTCCTGTTATTGGCTTTTGTTGTCAATATGACCATGGTTGTTGGATCTGAGCAGTTTGTTCTTGCCTAGCAAATGGGTATTGTGGTCGTGATATATTAAAAAAAAATCGATCTATAAATCTTAGGTAAGAAAATATATTAAATATAAAAAAACCTTATAAAAAATTCATATTTACATGCTAAATTTGAACAAATACAAATCAAATTTAATAATTTACGTTACAAGTTAAACTTTTACATTTACAACTCGAATTACATTACATTATTTATGAGTAAAACTTGTAAAAAAATGAATTTTTTGAGACTTCTTTGCATTTAATTTTCTTTGGAAGAAAGACATAATAAGGACTTACAAAATCAACAACATGATCTCTCAAAATGCTTTACCCCCGCTACAATATTCATAAGACTTGTTCGAAATTAAGTTCCTTTGTAAAATATAGATACTAGGTGTGGACATATACTCCCTCCTCCATTTGTTGTTATGTTTAGAGGTGATCAAAGAATTATTAATTAAGAAGTGAGTGATCTTGGAACAAACAGATATTTCACTTTAAGAAAATGGAAATTTTATATATGTGATAATGGAAGATAAAACCTTGAACAATGATAATTAGTACCTTGAAAATTAGGTTTGAGTTTTATGTGTTAATGGTGATATGAGAATTCATGAGTATTTCATTTTAAGAAATAACAACTTTAATTATAAAAAAAATTGATAACAAAACTAGGCTAATTCCCTAGCCAGTTTATAATACTATCATCAGTCCTAAATATAGGAGTTATTTGATATTTCTAAATATAAGACCACAATCTATTTTATCTTTTAAATTTATAATGTGTTATAAAAAATATCTTTAATTTATCGATTGTAGGTTATTTCTATCTAAGTATAGTTTCAATGTAAATGATTAAATAAGAATAATTTAAGAAAGTCAATACATATTTGTTATAAGTAACTAATTTAACTAGGTTTCTTAATTTTTTTAAATTAGCTATCTAACTCTTACGTTACGGACAGGAGGAAGTAAATACATATGTTGCAATGAGTGCTGCAAATTTTTATACGTATGTGTGTTTATATATATATATATATATATATATATCGTTATGCAATTGCCTTATTGTTGGCTAAGGTTTCAGTGCTTTATATATGTGGATTATTCTTAGTCCGACCCAAAGCTATCAAAGATCGTACGTAGATCTTCATAGTTCATTTTGATTTAATTTACGACGTCTTGCCATGTTATTTAATTAGTGTATTAAGTGGAACAGCTATAGACAAAATAATGTGATTAGTTAGGAATGGCTAATAGATCAAAATAATAATGAAAATCTTTAGGATAGTATTAATATAAATTGAAAATTCACGCAATGCTCTATAATTCTTTAAATTGAACGTGCAAATGCGTGTGAAGGTCAAAAAAAGGAACGAGCAAATGGATGGGACCACTTAAAGCCAACCGTCACCAATAAATACGTTACTTTTGTGCTTTATGGGGTAAGCAATTGGGCCCTAAACCCAAATAATAAAAAAAAACTCATATGACAACAAGTCTAGGCTGAAAATGATGGGTCTGTTTGGATTAGCAATTAGAAAAATAGCTTATTGTCAATTTGGCTTATAAAAAAGTGAAGTTGGCTAAAAGTTAAATTAGATAAGTTGAATTGTGTTTGAATTAGATGTCAGAAAAATTAGTTTCAAAAAGTAAGATTGATGAAAGGTTATTTGGATTATGGTTAAGTAAAAGTAAGTTTGGTTGTAAAATGACCAAAATGGATATGAGTTTTAATAAATAATGAAACATAATTAAAAAAATTGATTTTACATAATATAATGAAATTAAAATAATTTAATATGAAGAAATCAAATTTAATAAGTGAATTAAATTTTAAAAATTTATAGAAATCATAAAAAATATTTATAATAAAAAGTTTATTTTGATTTTAAATA